TATGTCCTGAAGACCAGCGGAAACGTTTAATTTCTTATTCTCTCGGTACAGTAAACAAACCCTTGAATTGTTTTTTTTTTACCTTTTATAGGTTCACTAAAGCAGCCACGTTACACCTTATATCATATTTGAAGGCATTTAAATATCAAAATAGTTTGGCAGTTGTATATGTTATCAGAAGACTGTTCAAGTGCCATGTGCTACTTTTTCTAAACTGCATTCCACATCTTGGAATCTGGTTTGTAAAGGTGTCTTGGACTATTCAAAACCAGTTATTTGTGACAAGGAAGTAACCTTGTTGAGTGCTTGTGGTCATCCTATCAGATACACTCCAGTACTGTACTCATCATAATCTTGGAAAGGACTAGTTATATTTACATACGTTAATGCACTGCTTGCTAACGTGTGTACTCTGTAGTCTACAACCCAGTCTATTACAACCACGTGTTTAACTTTTTTCCCCAACAGCACACAACACAACATGCTTCTGTCCAAACATACACCACATACATCTGAAGCCTTGGTCGGGTTGATCGATACCGTACTGTAGTGTAAGGAATATTTCAGGCCGAAATGTTTGTTGGGTGTAGTCGTGATCTAGGTGGAATTTTATTTTATGAAAGTATGCACACCCATTTAATTGAACAAGCTTGGAGTAGGGTTTATCGATCAAGGATGGTGTCACCTTATGTAAGACATGCCCATTAAGGGCAGGGAGATGCCTTTAGGAAGAAGTACAGAAAATAATCTCATGTGGTTGGTTGCATAATACATTTCAACCCCTAAAATTGTACTTCTTTAAATGACAGAAAGTGGTCATTGTTTCGCTGCAGATGTTTGAATTCCTCATCTCTGTTATTCACACATATTGTAATCCCGTTTCCTTCCAAGTATGAAAATACCCAAACAGGAAATTGCTATAAAATCTCAAGCTTAATTATCCTAATACTGTAGTGAAAAAACTCAGAGGCGTTCCTGGGTAAAGAAGTGTTGTAATCAATAAAGGTTGACCATTCCATGATTAACCAATGTTATGTGCAGACTTGCACCATTATTTTAAACTAGCCTTTTGCCCGTCCAAGGACGGGTGTATTGAAGTGAATCTGAAACTTGCAAGCGAAAAGCAGATGTCTCGGAAGAGGTGGAGAAACCCACACTTTATCTCACCACTTGCAACCAGACGATTAAGTGATGTAAATCGTCATTGGGCTACTGTACTTTTTAACGTTGACCAGACGTGTTCGCAAAGGTGGGCGTACCCACGCTTTACCCCACCACACGCGATCTGCCGATCAATACTGTCGCCTACCCATTTACACGTCTCAAATCAGCTGCCGCGCCAGGAGATCGAATCGAACCGGCAATCTCTGGATTTTAAGTCGAGTGTGTTAAACCATGACAACGGCAGTTTTCCCTACGCTTCTCAGTTAACACATTCCTCCTGCGGAGGGAGCTGGTAGGAACGTTGAGTTGCTCGGTCAATGGCCTGCAGGGTCAACGGCGACGCGGTGTATTCAGCAAATATGCCCGACTGTGAGGGCGGGCAGAAGCCGGCGTGAGTAGGTTAAACGTTGAGTTTTATAAGGGCACCACGGGGTGACCAGCCCCTCCCCACCCCCCACCCAGCCCCACTCTCCCCACCCAGCCCCTCCTCACCCTCCCCTCCCCACCCAGCCCCTCCCCACCCTCCACCCAGCCCCTCCCTGCACGACGGACTGACGGACACAATAATCCCCTGTGGGCTGGTGTAACCAGGTTCCTACCAGTATAAATCTGTTTATCGTCCGCCATGTGTACATACTGTATATGTGCAGCAAACCGGTAACCGGTTTTTCGTGCGGTTACCGGTAATGAAAATGAACCGATGTGTCAAATCTCGTTCACCAATCGATTTTGTAGGATGGGGATGGTTTTGTTTTATGTGTTTGGGTGATTTGTTTACCTTTCTTGTACTTTGAACTACTCTGTTATTGCACTATGTTGTTACGTTCTCATCCGCCCCTGTTGGAAATCTGTGTAGAAGAGCTGCAGAAGAGCTTTACAGATTAGATCGGATTCCTCCGCAATTCACTCATTCTGATCAAGCGGCTACTCACCCGTCACGCTGCTTCCGGTTCGCTTCCGCGTCACGTGCCCACAGCATGTGATGCCCCTCCCCCATGGCCCCCCCCTACTTCCCCCGCGCCCCCCCCAACTTCCCCCGCGCCCCCCCCAACTTCCCCCGCGCCCCCCCAACTTCCCCCGCGGCCCCCCCAACTTCCCCCGCGCCCCCCCCAACTTCCCCCGCCCCCCCAATTCCCCCGCGCCCTCCCCCACTTCTCCCGCTGCCCCCCCAACTTCCCCCGCGGCCCCCCCTACTTCCCCCGCGGCCCCCCCCACTACCCCCGCACCCCCCCTACTTCCCCCGCACCCCCCTACTTCCCCCGCTGCCCCCCCTACTTCCCCCGCACCCCCCCCCCACTTCCCTCGCACCCCCCCCTACTTCCCCCGCACCCCCCTACTTTCCCCGCACCCCCCCCCCACTTCTCCCGCGCCCCCCCCCCCTACTTACCCCCGCACCCCCCCTACTTTCCCCCGCACCCCCCCTACTTCCCCCGCGCCCCCCCTACTTCCCCCGCACCCCCCCTACTTTCCCCGCTGCCCTCCCCCATACTTCCCCCGCACCCCCCCCCCACTTCCCCTACCCCCCCACACTTCTCCCGCGCCCCCCCTACTTCCCCCGCACCCCCCCCCCCCCACTTCCCCCGCACCCCCCCCACTTCCCCCGCACCCCCCCACTACCCCCGCACCCCCCCACTACCCCGCACCCCCACTTCCCCCACGCCCCCCCCCACTTCCCCCGCACCCCCCCCCACTACCCCCGCACCCCCCACTTCCCCCACGCCCCCCCCCCTCACCAAGCCAAGTCACTGTGCCATGGTGGTGGTTGTTGTTGTTGCTGTACTCGTTGCAGGCGCCCAGTGGTGGCAGTGTGGGCGGGAAGTCGATAAATAATATTCTTGGTTCTTTCGGTAAAGTCACGTAGAAGATGAATAAGAAAGTAATAAAAATATTTTTTTTTATTGTTTTCTATTTTTATTATTTCCCTTCTACGTGACTTTACCGAAATAACCAAGAATCTGAATCCCTGCAGTCACGAAAGCTTTAAATCAAAATCTATAAATGCTATACAGTACCCGCTTACCTCCGCTTATAAAGACAAAGTATCACCCACGCAGAGCCTTTAACAGACTATAGTAGGAGCAAGTGGCTATAAGCGAGCACCTATGAAGGATAAGTGTAAAATACGGTGACTGCACATGCCTCTGAAGACAGGAATACTGTTCAGGGATATTCTGCCCACCGCCTCTCCTATCAGTTGAGCGTATATTAGTTCACTTGTTAGTCCTCAATTGGTGAAAGTGTCCCATTCAGAAGCAGGAGCCCAGTGTCATCGTGGGACAGCCACTAATTATATTTTTGCCACGATCTGTTTCGGGTTGTTGCTAAATAGAATACTGTACAGTATATGAACAAATGCTAAAACATTTTTTGTATCAGGTTGAATCTTGACTTTAAGCTTTCGCGACTGCAGGTATTCATATTATTTGTGTCTTTCGGTAAAGTCACGTAGAACAAAACACGAAACTATGCCGATTGCTTGTGTTGCGATCGAAACGTCGTAGTTTATTTTTTTGTTGGACATGACTTTACCGAAAGACCAAAAGAACATGTATACTCTTGATTTAAGACTTTACGTGGTATTTCTATTTAGACCTGTTGCTGACATTAAACAGTAAGTGCAAGACGAAACCAGAAGTGGACGTGGGAAAGGGAATATACAACGTTCCAGAGACACATTTTGTGTACCTATCATGAAACATGAAAGGAAGTTAATGTGGAGGACACGACGACGTACGTGTAGCCAGGCGTGGAGGGGAATGGCTCTTCCTAGGAATTATCACTGGCCCCCAGCTGCATGTCGTAGCTGCGATTAGCACGGTTGTCTACGTACGGTGCGAAAGAAGTTCCACACCGTACGTACAGTACCTATGGACAGTAGATGCACGTCACCTAACAAGGCCCTCCTCTTCCGGGTCACGCGCGCCATTTCACCTTTGACCCGGAAGCGGATGGACCCCCCCCCCCCTGTCCCCCCACCATTCACCAACGAACGCGTCACGATTCGCGATTCTCGAGCCGCGATTATATCAAAGAATCGAGTTTTACTTTATTTCGACGTGAACGTAGTAGCGGCCGCTAGCCGCAGGACGGCGGTTTCCCGCGAAAGCCAATACAATACGCCGCATATGAATCTACACACACACACGTGCACGACTCATATTTTACACAAGCGCGAGCGAGTCAATGCGTGGATCGTTAGAGAGCGGAGTCGACGTCGCGAGGGGAGAATCGTCGATTCATCATTTCGCCCCGGACCCCCCTCCCCCCCGCCCCACCAGCACGTGCCGATCCTGTCACGTGTCCGCGCGGCGATCACGTGATGGGCACGCGCGGTTATGCTGGTGGTGGGGGGGGTCTTGAGCTCTCCAGGGGTCAGAGGGGCGGGGCTGTTTGATGGTGGTGGTGTGGGGGGGGTCAAACTGAGGGGGGCGTTGCGAGCATTAAGAGGGCGGGGCTGACAAGAAGGGGGCGGAGTCAGTCGGAAGGGGGCGGAGTCAGTCTTAAGGGAGCGGAGTCAGTCAGAAGGAGGCGGAGTCAATCGGAAGGGGGCGGAGTCAGTCAGAAGGAGGCGGAGTCAATCGGAAGGGGGCGGAGTCAGTCGGAAGGGAGCGGAGTCAGTCAGAAGGAGGCGGAGTCAATCGGAAGGGGGCGGAGTCAGTCAGAAGGAGGCGGAGTCAATCGGAAGGGGGCGGAGTCAGTCGGAAGGGGCGGAGTCAGTCGGAAGGGGGCGGAGTCAGTCTTAAGGGTGGTGGAGTCAGTCAGAAGGAGGCGGAGTCAGTCTTAAGGGATGCGGAGTCAGTCTTAAGGGGGCGGAGTCAATCGGAAGGGGGCGGAGTCAGTCGTAAGGGGGCGGAGTCAGTCGGAAGGGGGCGGTGTCTTCCGTGAAGGCGTGGCTCCACCGTCGTTCCGGCTCCTCAGCCCCGCCGACATGGCCGGACGCCTGCCAGCCTGCGTGGTGGACTGTGGCACCGGGTAAGACGTCGCTTTGACACGCACCACGGCAAAGTCGATCCCGCGTCCGGGGCAGTCAGGGTACGGGGAAATCACGGAGCAACCCCCCCCCCCCCAGTCTCCTGCGTCTGGCAGCCGCGGGGGGCTGTCTGCCAACCCAGTCCATGGGTGAGGAAATCCCGCCCGGGCGGCGCCGCGGGGGTGAAGAGTGAGCCAGGGACTCACTTGGGGGGGTGGGGAGGGAGGTTGGGACACCGGGACCAGTTGACTTCGCTCCCGTCCCCTGATCGCTCGGCCCAACTCTGCTTCCAGACCCGGTCGCCAACGCTGACAGATTCCCACTTCCCTGAGAAAAACCCTCGCCGCCTACCAACGCTGCCCCCATCCCCAATTCCAATCCCTACCTCTTCTAACTCGTGACTGATGGCCCCAGGGCGCAACCCACACACCCCATCGCCAACTCGACGCGTGCCATGGGACCCCAACCTAATCCTATCTTAACCCGCTACCCAGAACTGTGATCCCAGACCCCGATTCCTAATCATAGGACCTGAGCCCCCACCCTGACCTCGGCCTTCACCCTGACGACTCCGTCTCTGACCTCGGGGGTCACCCACAAACCTCTCGGATGGGCCCCCTCGTCCAGAGCCAACGCGACGTGGCCACAATTCGCGTTAACAAAAATGCGTTTTTGCATGTTTGTAATGCATTTGCGTCTCTTCCCGTCCGGAACTTTGAACTACGCGGAAGTGTTCGTCTCCGGACCCTCCTTCAAGGGTCCGTCTTTCTCACCACAGGCATTCTAACCACCGTTGCATTGTAACCTTTCAAGTGACATTTTTCGAGGATCTCGTGTGTCAAAACCTCTAGGCTGTGTGCGGTTTCTATCTTCCCCCGAAACAACGTTAAGGCTCTGTTTCCACAGCCTATATTCTTGCATTCCATACTGGTTATAACCAAGACACCCTTCATGGATCTGTCAGACGGTAGTCTCCAGTCACTATCTTGTACTGAACAATTTTAGTATTTTCTAGACATTCTTCGAAGGTCTATTTACTCACGATGTCTAGACTGCTCGAATGATGAGTGTGCCTGGAATCCTTAAGGCTTTATCTTACCACAACATCTTGATCACTCTGTGTATCCATTCGCATTACACCCTCAAAATTGTGCCTTTGTAAAGAATCTGTTATATTGGGAATTTTGCCCGACAGCTCTTTCACTGGATCATCTTGACTCAATCTTTAATCTGCCCTCGCTTTATCCCATCCACATACATTGTTTCAGAGTCTATTTTACCATAGCTTCTAGGTATCATTGGCTGTGTAGTCTCATTGGCTGTGTAGATGAGAATGGTTTGATGTGAGCCTCTTGCTTCGACCTGGGGAAGCTCAGTTTGAGTTTATACCAATATGATTTTATTTTTGTTAGTAATTGTGTTTTTGCTAAACCACCAGCCAAACTCATCGGCCTTTTGAACATGTGTGGTGTAATCAGGATTGGCAGCATCTCAAAACTTCGGCAGTTTTCTCATTGCTCTGATAAGGGCTGTGTGCGCCCCCTTGAGCCACGCAGCTTCCATGCCTCCTCACCCTACGGTATTATTATCACATGAATTGCGAGGGAGCTGTAATGACGGTGCCGTCGCTCAGGATTTGCTTGAGCCCCCAGCACGTGAAAGTGTAACTCATTGGCACAGCCGTAAAATGTATACTGCCCAGTTGTCTGTAAGAATATAGTTTTACAGCAGTATGGTTATCCAACAAACGTGGCCGTGCCATTGGCTTTGTGAGCTCGGCAGTTGAGGTATATTTCTCGCATATCAGGGAAACCTTAATCAGATGATTGTTTGAGCTTAATGTAGGGAAGGTATGCATTTACATCACATTTCGGAACATGCTCTGATCCTTCGAATGGTTGCTGCGAAACTTTTTGCAAGATGCATACCACAATTTAAGACGATATGGTGTTGTGCATTATCTTATTTTACATTTATCATGCACCTTTGATCAACATCCAAAGCACCTTGTCATAAAGATTTACATTGTGATGAGGCAGAATAACAGCAATCTGACAGTACTAGGACACTGTTGGACCAAAAGTGGAGCTGTAATTTTTTATATCTAGTGCACATGATGGTGCCAATACGGGTGGCATTCTCACTTTTGAATTGCATATGGCTCAGCTAAAACTTGGAAGGTTATACATTTACATCACAGTGGTTGGTTGCTTTTCATGCCTGCACACTTGATCAAATGAGTTCCAGTTTGTCAGAAGTCAATGGTCTCTGGACAAACTGGTTGTCACTGTAGACATTTAATATTTCCACTTCTGGTCCACTGGTTGAGCAATGAACCACTTTGATTTGAGTGTTCCAAAGTTTTTTCGTGTTGAACCATTGTTGAAATTATGCTCTCCCTGAGGACCCTGTGACTGATAAGAAAACAGGCGTATTGTCTAATACTTATTTTCTGACTTAAGGCACCACTGGAATCTGCTGCTATTGAATACTTTACTCTTTTCTCAGGTACACGAAGATTGGCTATGCGGGCAACACAGAGCCTCAGTTCATCATTCCGTCATGTGAGTTTTTCAAGTGATAATATTTTTATGTGTTCGTAATTTTATTTAGCTGTTGTGAAACTACACAAGTGCAAATTGATGTAATTTAGAAATGCATTTTCAAGTGGCAGTGAATTGTAATTTGTTGATGGATATTGACGTACGTCCCTGTAAAAAAATGTATACAATATTTCATGTTGAATGAAGTTAATATTATATGCCAAACAGTAGTTTGTGAATTGTAAAGAAAACGTTTTATCTCTGTAAAGTATGCCCTCTAATGGTGACAGAGAAGACTATATGAAATTCAGCATGTCCCACTCTGCTACAAGTGTGCTGCAAATGTATAGTGTCCATTACCACTAAGAACTGCACATGCACCTTCTAATGTAGTGCAGTCAACTTGTTATTCATAAGGAAAGAAAGCATGCCTTTTTAGAATGTAAAATAAAAATAGATTTTTTTCTGGAACTACAAGGGTGATGTTTATTATGGAGTGATGGTTCAAATGGCTGGTGCATGTAAATGTATTTTTGTGGTATCAGTGATTATAGTAATGATAAAACCGTAGGACTGAGACTGATGAATATTTGTCTCTTGTTATAGGCATTTCCATCAAAGAATCCGCCAAGGTGGGCGACCAGTCCCAGAGGAGGGTCATGAAGGGTGTCGATGACTTGGATTTCTTCATTGGTGATGAAGCCATTGAGAAGCCCAACTACTCCACGAAGGTATGGATATCCACATCCATCCACATTTGGAATTGAAATTGAGGGTTGTGCTGAGAAACCTCAGCCCTTGCCAAATGAGCTGTGATGTTTATTTCATATTCTCACCTGTATGGATAAAATCATAATTTTGGTCATGTCTCTAATACTATCACAAACACCTTTGTAACTGTAAATATCAGATGTTGGGCAGATGTATCATGGAACAAATTCTAAAGTATCTTTAAGTTATCTCTTATTCACAGGTGTCCAGCCACCTGACTACAGAGAGAAGTGTTTGTCACATGACAGTTACAATTATATTTGTATTTCTGGAAATTAGCCACATTAACTTTAAAATCAACGTTAATGATGGGTTTTTTCATCAGTCGTTGGTGACTGCACTTGATAACCCAGTTTAATCATGGGGAGCTCCCTGGATTCGAACCCAATATCAGAGGTGCCAACTCAGCTTAATGACGCCTGAGCCAACTGATCACCTTATTATATCAATTATTTTAACATTTTTAAGTGAGATGATGCCTGTTATTGATGGCCCTTATCCTTGGTATAGAGTTGTGTTGTGGAGAGTTATACTATAAGCTTGATTTATTTGACATAACCAAATAATTACATCTTTCGGATTCATTTTAAATATCGAAGGCAAAGATTACTTATATTTTTAATAAATGGTTATAATTGCAAAATGTTCTAACATGTGAATGATTAGATGAGTAGCTGGGAGAGATCTCTTGTGCAGGCTGAAAAGGCTGTCTTGTTACAACTAATTCATGAGTGTACTCCATTGATGTTAAGCAGCCTAGACTTGAAAATCTGGAAAATAAACCAATTGTATTTGTTTATCATCAATGGCATCATGTGCATTTTGTTTTTTTCCCACAATTGTAATGGGTTTTCTCTTTGTCAGCATACACTGATTATAATTTAAAAAATAACAAAAACTACAAAAGACAAGTTTAAATCATTAAATCGGTGACACAAGGGTTGCTTACTTGTACTGCACTATCTAAAGATATTGTCAAATATGTTTGCCAATAAATTACTAATTAATGAATCAACTTTAGACTTAACAAAATATCCATGGAGGGGAAGATGCATTCTAATTAAATGTAGCTAATTGGGCAATTGAACATGCAGTCTTTATGTCCACAAGTTATACTAAAACCCTGCTATTAAAAGCAAGCATGCACTCTTAAGTACTCTTTCACAGGCCTTAAATAAGCCTGTTTATATGTTTGTAATGTTTTTCTTGTTGCCGTTATAGTGGCCGATCCGTCATGGCATAGTGGAGGACTGGGATCTGATGGAGAGGTTCATGGAGCAAGTGATCTTTAAGTATCTTCGTGCTGAACCCGAGGACCACTACTTCCTCCTGGTAAGTGCTTATCAGTCTTCCGCAGGCATGAGCCTGGCTTTACCGCACCCACACTGCGTTAGTGTTTTACGAGGATGTTACTTACAAGAAAAACACATTTGCATGGAAAAAGTACTTTTTTTAAAGTCAATGTCTGTGATCAACTTAACAGGACCAGTGCTGATCCCATTGCTAATCCTGAGCCAGGGGTGGAAATCCTCATTCCTGCGGTGGAGGCTAGTCTATCCATAGGACAACCCGTTTTTGAATAGACACAAAGTGCTACAAATTTTATAACCTTGGATTGATGATGAGCCCAGTCAACCTCCATTTAGATTTTAAACTCCTAGCTGTCTGATTGTGAGTTGAGTGGTTTCACCACATCGCCACACGGCCGTGCATATTATGCATGTGTAGTCACTCGATATGTATTTACAGCACTAGATAACACACACTAACCCAACATTACACCATCCAGTCTTCCTATTTCGCCTCTACCCACAGGCCACACATTTTCATTGATTACCACATCCTATGACTAATTTTTCTAACTCGTCAGTAATGAGGAAGCTGTGCACGTTTTGTGTAAAAATGCAGAAGCACAGTGAAAACTGACTTTTAGTTGTCCATCAGATAATTATTATTTAAATAAAGGTGCAACCTGAAAACGAAGTTTCCTTTATGTTAAAATATTATCTTAATCCACATTTTTGATAATGTCCATAGTTATACCATCTGGTTCAGGAGCTTACATTTTTTTCTCATATCGTGTGGGGTGTTGTTTACTGCTTTAGTTATGACATCGGGAGCCTCTATTTGTCATGGGTCATTGGTCCATGTTTCTCCCTAAGGCCAGGATCCACTGGGGCAATTTGAGGCCAATTGTTTCTGGCATTCATCACCGGCAGTGGTTGCTGCAGGATTGATTATTGTAAACTTTTTGTTTAGCAATATCTGAATAAATTTGATCACAAATCTCCCTGGTGGTCAACTGGGACAGCAGCATTAAATCGGATCACGGAGGTCACGTGACGTTTTTCAAATGAAACGTGCTTTATTTGAGAACTAGCAGCTTCAAGCCTATGCATGGTTTGCTTGGTCTTGTGATGGTGTGATGTATTGGTGTGATTTGATGATGTGGAGAGGGGGTGTGGCGTGCTAGTGTGGTGAGATGGTGTGACAATGTTGTGACGGTATAACCTGATGGTTTGGATTACTGGTGTGCCATTAGATTAATTTCAACAACAGATTAATTTCCAATCTGTAAACACATAATTGTGAATCAAACGCATTGCTTTGATTGACTAGAGGAAGGCCTGTCACTCCATTACTGGTGGCTGGCAAGTTGTCAAAGTTACTGATGGTTCATGTGTTGCTAGCGACGATTACCGGCAATGGATTGCCCTTGAAAAAAATGTCATGCTCGCATTGCTTTATACGATGTCTTCAATAAATTTTTATCTTGCGCTCAATGAGTTTTTCTCATTTGTTTTTCTGAATATGAAAATTATCTGTGTCTAGTTACATTATTTTAAGGCATGTGCACAATGATACGACACAATTACTAATTTAAACCCAGAATCAGTTGTGGATACAAAAACATAACATAATCTCTTAAGAAGACAAAGCAGTGTTAAGTGACTGTGGTCAGTGGCAGAGCCGGGTTTCCTGGAGAAATAATGTCTTCATTTTGTCTACATTTACAGGATTGTTGGGGTTTCACAGCTTTCTCATAATTTGAAGGACATGGTTTCACATTTCAGTTAAGGGTGAACTCATATTTATTATGGTTGTATTCCAGTTGTTGCACTCTTGATGAAGATAACTGATTGGTTTGTGCTGATATCGGTTGGCTTGCATTGTGCTATTTCCTGTTTGCTATGAGCCTATAATCAACAACTCCTGATGATTTCCTGGTCAATTGGAGATGCACTATATGATAAGCAGCCCACACATAAAGCTGTGGTGTGAGTGCAATGTTAGAGTTATATACAATGTAGGACAGAAACATCACTGGTCAATCTCATACTGTGGCATTTTATATATATATTCTGCTTAAGAGAGTATTGTAAACACAATTGTATGACTCAAATGTTAAAAATGCCAAGTTGTACACTAGAAATGCACGTGCTTAATACATTTGTGAATGGATGTTTTTCTTTGACCACAGACCGAACCTCCACTCAACACACCTGAGAACAGGGAATATACAGCCGAGATAATGTTCGAGTCCTTCAATGTCCCTGGCCTCTACATAGCTGTGCAGGTGAACCTCCAGCTGTGAATGTTCACATGTATTTATACTCTATACTCTTGTACACCCATAATAGAGATTTTTTGGGTTAGATCGTGCATATATAAATGTGTCGTTAAGACCCGCCACCACCTGACACAGCCAAACTAGTAAGGGTTGTCACTGTAAACAGAACATGCCAATTTGTCACGAGTATGGCACACTGGTGTGTTGGAGAGCCAAGCCACAACATTTACAAACTGAGTATGACGTTTCGCCAGTAATTACAACTAGCTTCATCAGGCGACAGCCAGATTTGTGGAGAAGTCTTACTGTTTCGTTCCTTACATAGAGGCGTAAATGATGGGGGGGGGGGATTACTGAGGAAACGTATATTATGTATGTGCATTATGCGAGCCCTTTGAACTTGTCCTTCCTGTCTATTGTGTTTTTTATTAAAATAGCCCTACCAATGGTAATCTCTATTGAAGTACGCTGCCCTTTGTAGGCATGCATTTAAATAATGTATTATTTGATGATTCGCTTCCAAGCAGAACTAAGACGGTAACTATCCGAATGGTTAAAGTTATTTTGATTTCTTTCAATTTCAATAGATTCTCTAATTAGTCTTGGCCAGTAGTAGCTAGTTTTGCACAAAACTTCAACATTATCAAAATCAATTGCGTGTCCTTGTTGGCACACGTGTTCTGCTACTGCTGACAGTTGCATTTGGGAGAATTTAATATTTCTCTGATGTTTTTTTAGTCTCATGCTGATTAATCGTCCTGTTTGCCCAACATAACATTTACCACACGTGCAGTTAATTCTGTACACACCTTCTGTTGATAGCTTCAGTAATACATCTTTTGTACCAGATATTAAATTCTGTATTTTATGTACCATGCCAAATCTGACTCGGATGTTTTGTTTTTCTAAATATCTAGCTAGATTATCAGTTACTCCCGCAATGTACGGTATTTTGATCGTTTTAATTACTTGGGAAGTTTCAATGCTCTTGTTATTTGATTTGGTTTTGGTATTCAGAACATGCGTGCCAACAAGGACACTCAATTGATTTTGATAATGTTGAAGTTTCTTGCAAAACAAGCTACGACTGGCCAAGACTAATTAGAGAATCTATCGAAATTTAAAGAAATCAAAATAACTTTAACCGTTCGCATAGCTACCGTCTTAGTGCTGCGTGGAAGCGAATCATCAAATAATACATTATTTAAATGCATGCCTACAAAGGGGAATGTACTTCAATAGGGATTACCGTTGGTAGGGCTATTTTAATAAACACGATAGATAGGAAGGACAAGTTCAAAGGGCTCGCATAATGCACATGCATAATGTACGTTGCCTCAGTCATCCCGCCCCCCCCCCCATTATTGTGCAGGAGCGCAGAAGGGTGGTCAACACATCTACGCCTCTAGATAAGGAACGAAACAGTTAGACTTCTCCACAAATCTGGCTGTCGCCTGATGAAGCGAGTTGTTATTACTGGCGAAATGTCGTACTCGGTTTGTAAATGTTGTGGCTTGGCTCTCCAACACACCGGTGTGCTGTACTCATGACGAATTGGCATGTTCTGTTTACGTGACAACCCTTACCAGTTGGCTGTGTCGGGTGGTGGCGGGTTTTAATGACACATTTACGCGATATAACCCCAAAACCTCTAATATGGATGATATTGGTCGCGAAAGCCTACGTGTTAAACTGACTCTTGTACACGTGTATTCTTCACAGCCAGCATTCTTTCCCACTGACAGTTGTGAAGTATACTGACTTTTCAGTAACTGTCAAACCAGTTGCCACAGAACTATGCAATATTAATTTGGGTCAATGATCTTTCATAAAACCCATGGTAATATATGACACGATATCAGTTTTGTACAGCAAATGAGCCTGGAATGTATGCACGCTCTGATCTTTTTTAAATTCGTTACCAAGCATATGCATATGAATTGTGAATACAACTTAAAGTTTACACAAGCATAATTATATTTTGATTATAATAAAAAGTGCATTGTTTCAAGCAGGTTATTGCGTTGGCCTTGCAGTTACTGAGCATATACCTCCTTTGCAATTGTTTCATATGACAGTAGTAAAATGCTTCAATTTGTAGTGTAATAGCACTGTCTGCTGTCCAGCAACGGCAACTGCGGTGGACGAGCAGTACATACGCCGGTGAGCATATATGCGGGTGTGTTGGCAGGGTGGAGAAATTGGGGCAAGGGTCATGGAAGACCCCATCTGGAAGCCCCTGGAACCCGCTAGTGGGTTCGAGAAGGGAGGTGCGGCCAGGGCAGAGCCAGGCCGCGCCGGGTAGCATAAAAGCAGCTGAGAGCGGGAGCTCGTGGCTGCTGGTCATGGGAAGTGGACTCGTCTTGTCGTCACTGTCGTCTTCGCCGCTTTCGTCACTGCCGTCTTCGCTAGATATTGTGTGGCCGGATAGTTGTTGGTTATCTCAGTCGGCGCCGTCGGTGTTACACGGTCAGGGTTGTGATAAGGTTAGGCTAGATGACTCAGGAGAGTGCGAGGGTAAACCTGTGAACCTGAAGGTGTTAATAAGGAAGGTGCTCCTGAAAAACCTTGTCTCCTGCTCCGCTGACACTATAAATGAAACAGCACATTTTGAGTATATTTTAATAAGTTTACAACAGTTGAAGTGTTACGAAAAAGAGTCATTCATAGAATTAGTACTTTTTTGCCCAAACGAGTTTTTGTAAAGTGACCAGCTAGGGAGGGAGGTAAGGGTACCACCAATGCTTGACCACTTGGCTCTTAGGGGTGCCGGAACCCATGATATGCATCGTAAATCCAGTTAGGTTTTACCCAGCTGATGACCGTGAGTGTGCGCACACCTACAGGCAGTCCTGGCGTTGGCCGCCTCCTGGACGTCACGTCAGGTTGGGGAGAGAACTCTCACAGGCACGGTCATCGACAGCGGCGACGGCGTCACCCACGTCATTCCTGTGGTGAGCTATGTGTCTCCAGTGGGGCTGAGATTGTGGTGGGGAAGGCTTTTGTTGGCTTCACAGTGTGGTTTAGTGAGGTGTGATGTCAAGGTCAGGGATTTATCACCGCCAGTGCTGTTGGATGGCCACCTAGGTTACAGGTTGATAATTCACAATGTCTTATGATTTGTGGTCATATTGCTGAATGACAGGAGAAGTATGATTACAATACAATTGGATCAAGTTTATACAGTCATTTAAATATGGTTGAAACGTTCGAAAATGTCTTTAAGAAATGGAAACTAGAATTTAGCAGGGTATTAAATTAAATCAGGAATAAATTCTGTTATCAGCAGCACAAAAAAGGGGAGGTAGTCAACAAGACATACAGCAGTAGCTGTTCAGGTATGAAGAACAACTAGGCATATGATAAAAAAAATCTCTCTTGATGTCTCCTTTTTGAATGTGTTTAGTATTGCTAATGGTTACAGGTTGCTAATTGGTGATAACTGACATTCTGAAAGAAAATAAGCCGCAAAAAAGGCATCCTTCTTGCTATACTCTGAGCAGCTTCCACTTGTATAACATTATCTTCATAACTTAAATAAATAAATAACAGTCATAAGTTTACAACACACTGTAACCTCAACTATTGAGCAGAGACGGTTCAATTAAAATCGGAAAAATCTGTATATTTGTAAGATGGATGTGCAGTTCTGAGGGCTCATGCTGTAACCCCAGGGTTTGTCTTGCAAAACAGACAATGTTTCATATCTCGGTGGGTTTATTTCAGCTCCTGGTTACAATAAGGATACAAAAACAACTTGGTATACCCATATCTTTGTACTGAGAGTAAACCTAAGTCTGAATAGAAACAAGGGGTATAGAGATTTTGAAAACAAATCTTCCAAATAAACTTTGTATAAGCCCAGATCTGGGGGCACTTTTTCATGCATTTCTCTATGCAGCTGAAGAGGCAATCTCATGTGTTCCCTTTTTGGATGTCAAGCAAAAAGGCTGTACTGGTTCTTTTTTACTGCATGGGTTTTAGAACCTGTTTTGTCTTTTTTGTCAATGGCACAATGGGGATATAATTCTCCCAGATAATTGGGTTTCCTTTGTGTGATCATCACTATTATTTATTTAGTGTGGAATACACAAGGATGTATTGCATAACATACACAATTAAATCTGAATAATGCCTCTGTGGGTAGAGGATAAATACATCATGACGGCATTGTCTATAGCTCAACCATAAATTGGATACATGCCAGCAATGTGGAGCCCTTATAGACAGCACACTGAAGTAAAACAGCTAGCTCCACATGATGTAAAAACTGACGAGGATTGATGGATTTTGTGCTAATTTTCTACCATGCTTAACTGCACCATAAACATTGCGTGAATGTAAGTCATATGTGTATGCAGTTTACAAAAGTGTGCCTTGTATTTCACAAGGGTGATTCTCACAATAACATTATTATTGCCCCGTCACAGGGTGTCTCACCAAGACTCACCGATTAACGCCTCGCCACTGTCACTACCACTGCCTTTTGATCGAAAAATATACCCCATTGCCTTTTGATCGAAAAATATACCCTAGGATAATGTTTCTCTGCATTATCTATGAAGACTAGCTATTGAGCTTGACATTATCCTTACCATTTATTTTATTTTGTGATAATAGTGGTGAGGTTTATTAGGTCTGTCATCATACCACACTGATAATGTAGGCCTTGAAGATTTGATCAACGTTCACAACTCTTTGATATGGTGACCCACAATACTCCATCCTCATCCTCCTGCTTTTCTCATCTCCCTATTTGCAACAATCTCCCGTTTTAATGTTAACCATCAGTTTTATGCTGATGACACCTGGCTCTACCGTGAACCCATTCGGGCAGTGATCTTCTCCATGGGTGACCAAGAGTAATTGGTAGGAATTCCACATTGCCATGGTGTGGCTATTTTATCCCTTAGAAGCCACTGTTGATTTCTGTTACAGCAAGATGTGTCAGGAAGAGGTTGGGGTAAACCTGATAAGTATGCTAACACACGGTTAGGCCTTCTGTTACCAAAACCAGTATTGTAATGTTGAACTGGTTCATCTGTGCATGTCCTGTAACAGTGAAACGTGTTGAAAGGTGTTCTTAACATTTTAAGTATAATTTTAATTGTATTTAAACTGCTATCCATCTGTTTAGATCCCTTGTAAATTAAGTGAAGCTGTCTAATACATACATGAACCTGACATTGCTATAATATATTATTGTTATTCTGTGAAAGAGATATTGTTTTCATTAATTAATACTGTGTTTCTCATAAAAAGATCATTACCAATACATTTAAAGTAAGTCAATGGCTGCACCAAAATCGTCTGCTGTGGCCCATGCAGGCAGAAGGATATGTCATTGGAAGCTGCATCAAACACATCCCCATAGCTGGCCGCGATATCACCTACTTCATCCAGCAGCTGTTGAGGGAGCGGGAGGTGGGAATCCCACCAGAGCAGTCACTCGAGACAGCCAAAGTGATCAAGGTAAGAGAGATTTCACACGCGTTGCCTGCTTTAACTCATAGTTAAGCATGCTTTGTGTCGTCGTTCTTGCCACAGCTTTCATGGAGTACAAGCAAAGATATTTGTGCAAACGTCTATACAAAGTTTACACTGACCAATATCAGCTTGTAGCAGATACTGTACATGGGTAATTATCAAAATATATGTTTTTGATGAACACTGAACCACTTACAGACATGTCAGGTTTCAAACTAAATGGGCACAATCATATGAGGAGTGTTCTTGAAAGCCACAACTATGTAAATATAGGTTGTAGATGTGCTGCAGCCAGGACTATAAATACAACTTCATCATTAGAAGCGACTGATGACATCACTGTGCAGTTACTCCTGTACACTTTTATGCCTAACTGGCAAAGGATCGTAGAGGCCTCCACTCTCACAAGAGTCTGTGCCGCCTGAGCCGAGAGGCCTGTGCCCATCTTGACCTACTGCCAGATGTGAAAAGTCCGGCATGCTGGACACTTTAGATTTTCATTTGGTCCCACGCCACACTTTTGACTTTACACATGGGTGCCATGGGCCAAGGGGATTGTAGGGTACCTTCCATAGGTCACATGGTTGCGGTTTCTGAGGCTGGAAGGTGCTCTGATTGCGTTGTCAGTCAAAAAGTGAAAGGCTATGTGACTGCGGACATACGTGCATGGGGTGAACAGTGCTGCGTTCCTTTAAAATGCTGCGTTCCTCTAAAATGCGACTACCAGTAGAGGGCACTCATCATTCATAGACCCGGCATAGGCTCCAACTGCACCATTGTTAGCTTGGCCCTGCTTGTTTTCTTTCCAGCAGTTTTAGACACGTGACTGCACTCTTCCACCACTCAGTACTTTTGTACTGCTTATTTTTAGTTGACACCCTTTCATACAATATCACTCATTTAACACTTGATACTGTGACCCAACTGCTTTTTTTGATGGTGTGAGCTATATATTGTGTAAATATGTTGGCATATGTGGTGACATATTGTGTTGTCTTTGTTTTTAAGGAGCGGTTTTCATACATATGTCCCGATATCGTCAAGGAATTTAGCAAGTTTGACGCGGACCCTAGCAAATGGATGAAGCAGTACACAGGCATCAATGCCATTACTAAAAAAGAGTTCACCATTGACGTGGGTTATGAGCGCTTCTTGGGACCGGAAATCTTCTTCCATCCTGAGGTATTATATGAGCGCACAACATTCTACACAGCGGCATGAGTTACAGGCGTGGGTGCATGTGCAGAGATTCACCCCAAGCTGACACTAATTAAACATATAAACATGTAAATACATCATTCTGTACACTGTCTATATTTGGAACATGCTTTGGTATTGTTTATTAAGCAGTGGTAAAGATGCTGGTTTTCTCAAAGTACACTGATTTTATTCAGGAATTGTCCAACCATCCCAGGATTTTCTGTATTGTAATATCTTAAACAGCCTTGCTGTCAGAAATCAATAGGTTCAGACTCGTACAATTTGGTCACATGAGGTCTGGATTAACCTGGAGAAACCTATCAATCAAGGAATAGAGGAAAGTTACCGTAAAATGCGATAACCAGTAATTAGATGGATAGATGGTGTGCCGGAGGTCATTGGGAGGTCAAGTGCTGGGTATCAAAAGCCAGCGTGGATTAAGAAGGCTTCCGTAGGCATAATGATGCACTATAGGGTACATCCTTGGTCAGTACCGTAGCTAGATATTTGAGTGTGGTGCAAGGCGCCATCCTTTTGCCTCTCCCCCCACTCCTCCACTGCACTGCCCCACCAAAAGTTGTAGCTACCATTCGTCACTCTTGCTTCGTTTCGAATTGTTCAGCTATACATTCGGGTGGTGCTGTAATGCAATAAACTGGACACTCCGGAATCACCGATAAGCCTATATATATTCTTAGGTTTTTTCGGTAAAGTCACGTAGGTGAAAAATTTAAATTAATAAAAGTAAAATAAAACAAAATAAAAAATCGCGACGTTTCGGAAGCAACACAAGCCTCCATCTTCAGGTGGAACCGTCACAGCCACGACAGCTGTATCAAGTAGCTGTAACGGTTCCACCTGAAGACGGAGGCTTGTGTTGCTTCCGAAACGTCGTGATTTTTTACTTTGTTTTATTTTACTTTTATTTAAATTTTTTACCTACGTGACTTTACCGAAAAAACCTAAGAATATGAATCCTTGCAGTCACGAAAGCTTCAAATCTAGAATTAAGCCAATATATGGACTAATATTGGTGCGGTGTTGCCTGTAGGTGCATGTCTTTGCCCATATATGGTTTTGTGAAACCTGAATCGAGGTATATTGTATCGATTCTGCTCATAGTCGATCGGACAGCCATGTTAAGAGTATCGATTCATTGAGGGTTAATCAATGCTTAGGTTAATTGAGTAATCCATTGGTTCGTATAGGGTCATGTGAAACGCCCTCTTTTTGTTGATTTGCATGATTGGTGATTCACTCGCAGTCCGTTTTTTTCGCATTACAATGCCCATATTAGGAGGTGCAACCGTGGTGGCTGACTTGCCTTTGTTACAGCACTGTCATCAATCTTCGTTTCAAGGCAGTGTTAAACCTTAGGTGTGAGATATCATGAAATGCTAAGTAAATTATACGGTCCCAATTAATCTTATAAACAGGACCCTGCGGGGTGGGCTGGTAGGAATAATACTTAGTACCGGTACAGAGATATCGACCGGGTATAGAGGAGTTAAAGACAAAATTACTGTATTCTAGTGTAACGTTAATTAAAAGTGTTTGTTTTGACAAGAAACGCTGTGAGATTTAAAGACTCGTAGTCTTTCATTTCCAACACCACCCTCAACACCACCCCTCCCACGGACGGACGGACGGACGGACGGTCGGACGGACGGACGGATGGACACATTAATCTATTGGTGGTCTGGTCCACTTCGTTCCTACCAGTATAACCCCCCCCATCACTCGCTCGTGATCAATAACCCCCCAATCACTCGCTCGTGATCAATAACCCCCCCTATCACTCTCTCGTGATCAATAACCCTCCCAATCACTCGCTCGTGATCAATAACCCCCCCAATCACTCGCTCGTGATCAATAACCCCCCCAATCACTCCCTCGTGATCAATAACCCCCCCAATCACTCGCTCGTGATCAATAACCCCCGCCAATCACTCGCTCGTGATCAATAACCCCCCCCAATCACTCGCTCGTGATCAATAACCCCCCCAATCACTCGCTCGTGATCAATAACCTCCCCCAATCACTCGCTCGTGATCAATAACCCCCCCCAATCACTCGTGATCAATAACCCCCCCAATCACTCGTGATCGATAACCCCCCAATCACTCGTGATCAATAACCCCCCAATCACTCGTGATCAATAACCTCCCCAATCACTCGCTCGTGATCAATAACCCCCCCAATCACTCGCTCGTGATCAATAACCTCCCCCAATCACTCGCTCGTGATCAATAACCCCCCCCCAATCACTCGTGATCAATAACCCCCCCCCAATCACTCGTGATCGATAACCCCCCCAATCACTCGTGATCGATAACCCCCCAATCACTCGTGATCAATAACCCCCCAATCACTCGTGATCAATAACCTCCCCAATCACTCGCTCGTGATCAATAACCCCCCCAATCACTCGCTCGTGATCAATAATCCCCCCAATCACTCCCTCGTGATCAATAATCCCCCCAATCACTCCCTCGTGATCAATAACCCCCCCAATCACTCGCTCGTGATCAATAACCCCCCCAATCACTCCCTCGTGATCAATAATCCCCCCAATCACTCGCTCGTGATCAATAACCCCCCCAATCACTCGCTCGTGATCAATAATCCCCCCAATCACTTGCTCGTGATCAATAACCCCCCCAATCACTCTCTCGTGATCAATAACCCCCCCAATCACTCGCTCGTGATCAATAACCCCCCCAATCACTCGCTCGTGATCAATAACCCCCCCAATCACTCGCTCGTGATCAATAACCCCCCCAATCACTCGCTCGTGATCAATAACCCCCCCAATCACTGGCTCGTGATCAATAACCCCCCAATCACTCGCTCGTGATCAATAACCCCCCCAATCACTCGCTCGTGATCAATAACCTCCCCAATCACTCGCTCGTGATCAATAACCCCCCCAATCACTCGCTCGTGATCAATAACCCCCCCAATCACTCGTTCGTGATCAATAACCCCCCCAATCACTCCCTCGTGATCAATAACCCTGTCACTCGCTCGTGATCAATAACCCCCCCAATCACTCGCTCGTGATCAATAACCCCCCCAATCACTCGCTCGTGATCAATAACCCCCCAATCACTCCCTCGTGATCAATAACCCTGCCAATCACTCGCTCGTGATCAATAACCCCCCCCAATCACTCGCTCGTGATCAATAACCCCCCCAATCACTCCCTCGTGATCAATAACCCCCCAATCACTCCCTCGTGATCAATAACCCCCCAATCACTCGCTCGTGATCAATATACCCCCCAATCACTCCCTCGTGATCAATAACCCCCCAATCACTCCCTCGTGATCAATAACCCCCCCAATCACTCCCTCGTGATCAATAACCCCCCAATCACTCGCTCGTGATCAATAACCCCCCAATCACTCGCTCGTGATCAATAACCCCCCAATCACTCGCTCGTGATCAATAACCCCCCAATCACTCGTGATCAATAACCCCCCAATCACTCGCTCGTGATCAATAACCCCCCAATCACTCGCTCGTGATCAATAATCCCCCCAATCACTCGTGATCAATAACCCCCCAATCACTCGTGATCGATAACCCCCCAATCACTCGTGATCGATAACCCCCCAATCACTCGTGATCAATAACCCCCCCAATCACTCGCTCGTGATCAATAACCCCCCCAATCACTCGCTCGTGATCAATAACCTCCCCCAATCACTCGCTCGTGATCAATAACCCCCCCAATCACTCGCTCATGATCAATAACCCCCCCCAATCACTCGTGATCAATAACCCCCCCCAATCACTCGTGATCGATAACCCCCCAATCACTCGTGATCAATAACCTCCCCAATCACTCGCTCGTGATCAATAACCCCCCCAAGCACTCGTGATCAATAACCCCCCTAATCACTCCCTCGTGATCAATAACCCCCCCAATCACTCGCTCGTGATCAATAATCCCCCCAATCACTCGCTCGTGATCAATAACCCCCCCAATCACTCTCTCGTGATCAATAACCCCCCCAATCACTCGCTCGTGATCAATAACCCCCCCAATCACTCGCTCGTGATCAATATACCCCCCAATCACTCGCTCGTGATCAATAACCCCCCAATCACTCGCTCGTGATCAATATACCCCCCAATCACTCGCTCGTGATCAATAACCCCCCCAATCACTCGCTCGTGATCAATAACCCCCCAATCACTCGCTCGTGATCAATAACCTCCCCCAATCACTTGCTCGTGATCAATAACCCCCCCAATCACTCGTGATCAATAACCCCCCCAATCACTCGTGATCAATAACCCCCCCAATCACTCGTGATCAATAACCTCCCCAATCACTCGCTCGTGATCAATAACCCCCCCAATCACTCGCTCGTGATCAATAACCCCCCCAATCACTCGTGATCAATAACCCCCCCAATCACTCGTGATCAATAACCCCCCCAATCACTCCCTCGTGATCAATAACCCCCCCAATCACTGAAATGCGAACCCCTCCCACGGACGGACGGACGATATAATCTATTGGTGGTCTGGTCCACTTCGTTCCTACCAGTATAACCCCCCCAATCACTCGCTCGTGATCAATAACCCCCCCAATCACTCGCTCGTGATCAATAACCTCCCCCAATCACTCGCTCATGATCAATAACCCCCCCAATCACTCGTGATCAATAACCCCCCCCAATCACTCGTGATCGATAACCCCCCCAATCACTCGTGATCAATAACCTCCCCAATCACTCGCTCGTGATCAATAACCCCCCCAAGCACTCGTGATCAATAACCCCCCTAATCACTCCCTCGTGATCAATAACCCCCCCAATCACTCGCTCGTGATCAATAACCCCCCCAATCACTCGCTCGTGATCAATATACCTCCCAATCACTCGCTCGTGATCAATATACCCCCCAATCACTCGCTCGTGATCAATAACCCCCCCAATCACTCGCTCGTGATCAATAACCCCCCAATCACTCGCTCGTGATCAATAACCTCCCCCAATCACTTGCTCGTGATCAATAACCCCCCCAATCACTCGTGATCAATAACCCCCCCAATCACTCGTGATCAATAACCTCCCCAATCACTCGCTCGTGATCAATAACCCCCCCAATCACTCGCTCGTGATCAATAACCCCCCCAATCACTCGTGATCAATAACCCCCCCAATCACTCGTGATCGATAACCCCCCAATCACTCGTGATCAATAACCTCCCCAATCACTCGCTCGTGATCAATAACCCCCCCAATCACTCCCTCGTGATCAATAACCCCCCCAATCACTGAAATGCGAACCCCTCCCACGGACGGACGGACGGACGGACGGACGGACGGACGGACGGACGGACGGACGGACGGACGGACGGACGGACGGACGGACGGACGGACGGACGGACGGACGGACGGACAGTCGGACGGACGGACGGACGATATAATCTATTGGTGGTCTGGTCCACTTCGTTCCTACCAGTATGAGGGAATATCACTGTACCACAACGATGCAGAAAGGCAGTTGCAAGGAGGGGCATGCATATTTTCCTGCACTGCATTCCTAACATTGCTACACAGTTAACTGCTTGTGTATCTATTTTATAACTACTATGCAGGATTGCCCATTCTTATAACATGAACCACTTGTGCCTCCTGATTGTGGAGGCACTATAAATAGTTTTTTGCTATGATGCAAACAAGTGTTTAGAGTAGATCAGTACAATTAAATAATTGTGTAAAGAGAGTTCCGGCCCAGGTTAGTCTTGAACTTCGACCTTTATTACGTCTTCAGCATAGTACATAACACTTAAGGCAGTTAACTCCGTTCAAATGCCACAAATCCATTCTATCCGCTCCTTTTAACCCCCTCTCCATCCTTTCTGGAACTTTCCCTTATTCCACCAATCCCCTTGGTTTCTCTCAACGGTCTCCCAACCAACCCCTCATTTAGATTTGGATTTTCGTGGGCTCTTTCTTATTACCCTGGTAACCAATCCGATTTTGAATGGTTCTCCATATTCAAATCAGATTGCGTGCCCTACATCATCTCCCCCTGTGATACCTCGCCAATGAGTCGAACGTGGTGTTTGAACTCACAAGCTGTTAATGTATATTGATTCATAAATAGGGTTCACCTCTTGGTGTCCCTTACAATGATATAATGATGAAGTGTTAACATAATAATTTGATCACAACAGAATACAATTCAGGCTGAAAATTAGATTTGACAACACACAAAGGTGTGCTTTACATGAACAAAATATCTCAATTCAAACCACCGACTCAAATAACTAAATATGTGGCCATTTTGTCATTGAGACTACCAACTGAAAGAGTTGAGAAAATTACCATTCCAACAGGCAGCAGTGAAACAAAGGCAATCGCCACTGCCGCCATATACCTCCCAGAGGCTTATAGTGGTAGTGAACATTGACTGCTGCACTAATGAGACCTAATGAGTTTTAATGAGGTATATTGCAGCATCAAACATTGATTACTGTCCTGATGAGTCCTAATTAGGATGACAATGGTACCTTTGTTCTAATGCTGTCTGTGAGGATGGTCAAATCTTTTCAACTCTAGGAGTTGATGGTATAAATTACAAAATGGACACACATTTACTTATTTTTTGAGCTTGCGGTCTGGATAAGCCTGAGAGCTTTTGTTTCAAGATGATTGGATGAAATTCTTCATAAAATTCACATTTTATTTGACAGCAGCAGATATCTATGGTCACACATACATGTGTGTTACACATGTTGTGGAGTCAACGGCTTTGGCCATGTTGACTGATCGTGAAACATCACGGTTTGTTAGCATTATTAACATTTATTTATGCATGAGTATAATGTGTAATGGTTGTCTCCTCCAGCAGAGGGTATGATTGCTATATTTTTTCATGGGTTTGGTGGCTCACATCGTTTTCATGAAAAACATGCAGTAATTTCAGGGCTGCACCCTGTCCTGCATACAATTTCTATGCATGATATATTTTTTAAAAATCCTTTATATTAAGTTCACTTGCTTGCTCGTGTGCTTGCTTGCTTGCTTAGGACCGTGCAAATCTTTCGGTCGATTTTTAACCCACTTCCCGTGATCCAATCGAGCTGACTTTTTGCACACAGACTCGTTGTGCGTGACAATTAATTTTCGTGAAAACAAATTTCCAAAATTTGACACTGTTTAGGGAATTTTTTAAAAAATATTTAATTACCAATTGCTTAATGGTGGCCGACAATCATCTGACTCATAGGTGGCAGCCATCTCAAGCCAGAGGACGAGAGGACTCTAGCTGCCCGTTTCATGATGACGCAAATGTTGACTAACCACATGGCATGAAATCCCTGCCCCCACGCTGTACAGTGGAGACTATTTATAGAGCAGTTAAATTGAAGCCGCCAGGTTCTTGAAAGTGGTAAAACGGGTCAACGCTAGTGCCATCGGGAATATACGGGGCATGTCAAGAGGTGATTTTTCGTTTTTAAATCCTTTATACTAACTTCACTTGCTTGCTTGCTTACTCAAGAAAAACAGAAATGAATAATAAAATGAAACCGATGCCACGCATATAAAGGATTTATAGTGAAAAACTTTGTTCTTACGGGTAAATTTTTAAAATCCTTTATATTAAGTTCGCTTGCTTGCTTGCTTGCTTAGGACTATGCAAATCTTTCGGTCATTTTTTAACCCACTTCCCGTGATCCAATCGAGCTGATATTTTGCACACAGACTCGTTCTGCGTGACAATTTTCGTGAAATTTTTTTTCCAAAATTTTACACTGTTTAGGGAAATTTTTAAAATATTTAATTACCAATTGCTTAATGGTGGCAGACAATCATCTGACCCATAGGTGGCAGCCATCTCAAGCCAGAGGACGAGAGGACTCTAGCCGCCCGTTTCATGATGACGCAAATGTTGACTAACCACATGGCATGAAATCCCTGCCCCCACGCTGTACAGTGGAGACTATTTATAGAGCAGTTAAATTGAAGCCGCCAGGTTCTTTAAAGTGGTAAAACGGGTCAACGCTAGTACCCTCGGGAATATACGGGGCATGTCAAGAGGTGATCTTTCAATTTTAAATCCTTTATATTAACTTCACTTGCTTGCTTACTCAAGAAAAACAGAAATGAATAATAAAATGAAACCGATGCACGCATATAAAGGATTTATAGTGAAAAACTTTGTTTTTACGGGTTAATTTTTTTACCCTTCTATCTGGCAACAAAACTGACACCTTTTTACAAGGAGTCATGTTTGCATAGACCGCAATACCTGCAGTCATAATACAAACAAAAGACATAACTCTGATAATGTGCACTGTCCTTGAAGTTGATTGGTCCACACCCCAGACAGCTTTCCTTAGAGCCTAGTCTCACATGGGTTGGACCAGATGACGCCAAAAGGCGCACAACTCAAAGACAATGGCACCATCAGAGTATGAGAGCTCGGGGTAAGCATTTACACCATGGGAACCTCATTTGCCAGTAAAAATATGATAATTGGTTTTTTACCCTTCTATCTGGCAACAAAACTGACACCTTTTTACAAGGAGTCATGTTTGCATAGACCGCAATACCTGCAGTCATAATACAAACCAAAGATATAACTGATAATGTGCACTGTCCTTGAAGTTGATTGGTCCACACCCGAGACAGCTTTCCTTAGCGCCTAGTCTCACATGGGTTGGACCAGATGACGCCAAAAGGCGCACAACTCAAAGACAATGGCACCATCAGAGTATCAGAGCTCGGGGTAAGCATTTGTAATAAATTAAATAAATGAAAAGGGTGAGTATTATTATTGAATCTATAACTTCCCCACATTTAACACTCCTTTCTTCATTGAGGCGTTGGTTGGGTTTAACAGCACTATCGTAGGTGCTGGCCCCTCATTATTGTCAAACCCAGCCTATGACAGTGATGTGTGTTCATCATGAAACCATTTCTAGCTGGTTGTGTACAGACAATACTGCTTGTTACAAGCGAAAATAAAAATTTCCGATGTTAGATATAATGTTAATGCATTTGTGAATTGTGAAAATTCCACGTACTAATGTTGAAGACCAACTTCGAAAGACGTGCAGCTTACAAACACGTTCAAATTCACACCATTGCTAGCAGAATATTAACTACTTTTGAATGCACTTAATTATTTGCCTAATTTTAACAAGAAAGCCAGCTTGTTGGATTTCATATATCACCACACCAGGCAGGCTAATTAAAGAAATCAAAAATGTAAAATAAATTTAACAAAAATGTGTATATATAGTAGAAGCATTTACCGACTATAGGATTTTAAAGATGTTATTTAATGTACAATGTATAATAGCAATGCATTCGAACATGCCTCATTGTTATAATGTATACGATATGTAATTCAAGTATAATACATTTACTTAAGGCAATATTTAAGTGGTTGTCGATGGTGGGTAGGGGGTGACAGGGGAGGGGGTGGTGGTCTGTACAACAACGCATGCACTGCACACATTCGTACATTTACAGTAATACATTTACTTCATATAGTAACACAGGGTTGTTGTTTTATTTTATTAGTTTTGCAGCAAGATCGACTTTTTAGTTAGCCGGACCCGAGCTGCCTGCTCCTCATCCGTTTTGGATTGTTTGGCAAATACTGATTTTGAAAGTGGCAAGTAACCAGAGTAGCAAAATAAAATGTATACCGGTAAATACCAGAGGATGACACATAAAGATCCGTAGATATAGGTCAGCGACCTACTTTGTGTACCTATAGCTACTGTCTACCTCACAGGCCAGCAGATTTGTATACAATATGCATGGTATATTTGTACCTTTCCTGTAGAGCGTTTAAATCCAGGTGTGACACCACACCTGAAATGACATCATATGCTTCATGAAGCATGTGAACTGTGTGTCCATTGTAAAATATACCTTATGCTGTGTTTGTTTCAAATATGGTCTTGATAAATGAATAATCGTATTTCTTGCAGTTCTGCAACCCAGACTTTACCCAGCCCATTTCAGAGGTGGTGGACAATGTCATTCAGAACTGCCCCATTGATGTGCGGCGTCCACTGTACAAGGTGAGTTCTCCTGTCTGTCAGATGGACTCTGCTCTTGTTTGGTCAAAACATTCCACCAAATCTCAGGGCTTAAACTGTCAGAACTTATGCTTCAGACTCTTGCCTAGCAGAAAAAAGGTAAACATGCTTTTATGTGCCCTTTAAAAATATACACACATGTACCTGCATGCCCGTATATGTTGTCAAGTATAATTGCTTTTTTTAGGGCATGTTGTATTTCCCTTAGGCCTGGTGTTAAATTATTAAATGTGGAATTAAAATGTTTTGTTTAATAAAGACTTCACATCGTGTCAACTGCTTATGTTCTGAGAAGGGATATGTCTTTGCAGCCTATATTATTCCTCACGCGTTATTTGTCTGGTTCTGCATACGAAAGCACCACTTATTGACAGCTGATAATTAAATAGCTGGCCTGAATATTTGACCAGCATTTTGCAGAGCCAGCTCACAAACGACTGTGCACTCCACAGGTGGCCTTTTTCACATTTACTGTACAAAAAGCTGGCCAATTAACCAGATATTTGAATACATCTCCATTTGCATTCTGCAGCCAGTGGTGAAAATTTCACTATTCAAATCCTGATCAAAAGTTGACTGAACCTATAATTACTCGAGGATCAACAGAATGAGCACCGCTCTGCGAGAAGTAAAAAAAAAACCCGTAGTCATTCTTTGTAGAGAATGGCCCTTCCTTGCCTTTTAAATATTAAATGTTCACGTTTTAAGCAGAGCCACCAACTCTTTGCTGAGCACTACCGAAGGCTAATTTTAGCACTGACATATACAACTCGTGACGATACAAACAGTGCAAATCGTGTTTATTATAGTGAAACACTGATTCCATAACTGGAAGCCTATCAATTACAGTGAAATCACTTGTTGAAAAAAGCTGAACATTGTAAAGGCTCGTATCCTTGTAATTTTGTTTTATCAAGTTCCTGTAAACATCTGTGCAATATAATTTCTTCCAGTATCTACATTAGACAACTTAATAACAGCATATCAGCTTTTAACTTTTTTCTAGCAGCTTTTAAGTTAAGCTTTTAACTGTCCAACAGTTGCAGCAACTGGCAGAAGAAAACAAGCCATGGTAAAGTGTGGTGGCATATTTTACTGTTGGCCAAGCTTTGACCTCTTTTATTGTTACAATATATTATAAATGTGTGCCAAGCACGAAGGTTAGCTAACTCTGGATTACATAATTAGGCAAATAGTAATTTGAGTTGCCACTGGACGACTGCTTCACTCCTCCCTCTAGAAGCAGATCTATAAATCTTTAGAAGGGGAAGTAATAAAATAATAAAAATAAAACATAATATATTTGAGCAAGTTTTATTTATTATTATTTTATTATTTCCCTTCTAAAAACCATCCATTTTAACTTATTTTCAAGTCTCTGAATACTTAAACTCTGCACACCATTACACATTCCTATAAACAAAGCACATAATATATTTTGTTATTTGTTATTATTTTATTATTTCCCTTCTACGTGACTTTACCGAAAGAACCAAGAAGATGAATCCCTGCAGTCACGAAAGCTTTAAATCGAAATTCAGATCTATAACTTTTTTTCCCCTCCTAAAACACAATATTGGGAAAAATTGAAATACACGTCAACAAAATACCAATTTTAGGGTCACATTTGGGGAGCGATGTTTTCCTCGGATCCGCCACCGACTTCCCCGCCTCCCACCCCCCTTCCAATCTTGCACTACATTTTTTCTCCACCAATAATTGCATTCGATCATCAGCTTTGACCAAACCAATTAGTTTGAAACAAGTATAATCATTGATGGAATATTCAGCGTAACCCTAATTTGTGCAAACTCAAAATCCACTTATTCTACCATGGTGGTCTTCATTTGGGAAGGGTGAGGCAAATAATTTTTCAGACTGCACGCATGTTGGAAAGGCATATGGACTGGATCGCCAATTTCACTTCAAATTCACTTCGGTGGCTATGCCCTCCCCCAGATACAGAGCAGTGCGGTTTCACACTGGAATTGTGCCTTTTGAGTTTTGGGTACATTTTTAACAGTTCTATAGCCCCTACCCAAACTCTGGCTGAATCATTCCACCATGCAGAACGAAGGCACAAAAATGCGTTAATTCCAAACTTTCTGCACAAAGAGCAATTCACCCACAGACTAGGCCTCAGACTTTTATCAGAAACGTGTTTGGAAATAAACTCTGCAATAATCAAGCTCCTTTATCGGTATCAGAATTTATTTAAGTTACTTCATGAATTCCAAATAGATCTCATGTGAGACTTAGAATGTGTTAAGTTCCCCCATTTTTGGCATTGTTTTGGCTATTTTTGGATGGGTGGCTCCGTGGTAAGGGCACTCAACTTGCGACTAGAATGTGATCAGTTCAAATCCTGACCAGGGCTGGATGCAGCCTGTTATTTTGCTGCAATTGATAAAATATATAGTAGTATACATTTTTGTTTTGGAAATCAAAAGTGGATTAACTGAATTTTCACCACTGACTCAAGACTGCTAACAGGGATGAGCACTACTTCCCACGCAATTAACCGCTTTGATTTTATTTTAATGGTTTATTTGAGATAGTCAAACATCAATGTAATAGGCAATTGATATCATGACAATGCATTAACATTTTTCATTGTTATTCAAAAGCAGCAAAGCATGAAAAGTTGTTTTCAAAATGCATTTTCCATTAATTAGCTTTATATGAAGACCGTTGATAATAGGGTTTTCCCCTTTTTTCTGGCAACATAACAGGGGTTAAGATGTTAAAACGCCAACTGAAACCTTTTACAGGGAATCATGTCTGCATTAACCACATTGATATGAAGGCTTCAGAGCGCTACGCATGATGCATATGTCCGTCAGCGAGTGGCTGTTGTGGTTCCAACAAGCAACAATTTCCGATTATGTTTATGTAATTTTCTGAAATTGCCTAATTTTTGGCAATTGTTGCAATGTATGGAAAATGCAGTTGAAATTCAGGTGGGTGGTGAAGCGTAAACATTGAATCACACTTGGCGAAATCGCGCGCAATCACTTGTGGAATGAGGTTTTTTCGGTGCAATAGAAAGAGCTGGCTGTTTCATCCGCTACATATATACACATTCGTATGATTCATGTAACTTAAATACCTCTGCTTAAGGACCTCATGAAATTGGTCGTTGAATTTTAACCTGCTTGGTCGTGACGACATTTTAATGTTGGATTTATTTCAATTTCTAAGTGTATGTTTTAATGCGTTTGTAAAGAATCTGTTAACTCACAGCCAACGCCGGTGACGATTATCCAAACCAGTCCTGGGGCTCCCCCAAGTCGACTCAGCCTCAAATGAGTACCTGTGGCTGTGTGTAAACATTGCCACTGGGGAGACAAAGGCGTCCAGGCATGGTGCTGGCCACCCATGCCCTTGTGTGCTGTGCCAAGCCATCCTTCATAGGTGCTGGCTTGCAACACTTGCCCCAACAGTCTGTTAAGGCTATACGGGGGACATCTGTGTGTGCATGTGTGCATCCATGTGTATCTGCACCCAGAATGTTGTGCTGTCTGGTGGCTCCACCATGTTCCGCGACTTTGGGCGTCGTCTCCAACGGGACCTCAAACGCACTGTGGACAGCCGGCTGAAGTTCAGTGAAGAGCTAAGTGGAGGCCGGATCAAGGTGATTATACTGCCTCCAGCGGTACACAATCGTACACAGTGTGGGACCTCATTGTTCCAGTTGCAGCTCAGACATTGGGCAGATTAACCATATTGTGGTAGTTGTATGTCATAAATTCACAAAATTGCACAACCATGCACGTCATTTGCAAAACGAGCTGCGAAACCTATTTTAGAGCATGTGTGTGTGGAGCCAAGCCTTGGACTATGCATACTATTTTGGCTGCAGGTGCTACTCTGTGCCGAGTACCAGGTTGTGGGGCATGCACAGAGCCACGTGCATTAAATGAGGCACACCTCAAAATTACGGAGTAAAGTATGTGGAATCCAGTGGATACATTTCACACTTATATGGCAGGGGTCTGTGTCCCCATTATAACAACCACTGTTGACTTCTCTAGATTGGTAGCTATTATTTTAATCCTGTAGGGAAGATATGAACTTAAAACTTGCCAATTGTTGGTTGTGTACTCTTACATCACTGTTACCCAGTTGGGTGTAATGCTCACTTATGTTGAATAAAAATGTCTTTTTTCTTGCAGCCGAAACCCATCGATGTGCAAGTGATTACCCATCACATGCAACGCTATGCAGTGTGGTTTGGGGGCTCCATGTTGGCTTCCACAGTAAGTTTCCTTTCCAAAATGCCCCAAACTAGATGGCAGCGATATGAATTAATAACCACGTGCACATTTTTATATGAGCTTTCAGGAGTATTTCATGTTACATATTAGTGAATCCCATAAACATTACAGTTATAATTGCTGAAGCTGTTGGAGACCATATTGAACTAATACTACATTTTCAGTAGTATTATTTCACCATTTCCATAAGCCTCAGTGATGAGACAAGAATCATCTAGCCTACATGTCAATGTGGAATTATTGTCAGTGGAAGTTATTCTTAATCCTATCATTGAAATCTGTTTACTTGAAAAGCACAAAGTGAAGCATTATATTGACAAAATATGGATAGACCATGTTGGAATGTTTTATTTAACTGCCATATCACATTGGCTGCAGATCACCAGCAAAAATGTATGCATTTAAGAGATCAAAACTACAAATCCATAGGGAGAGACTGGCAAGTTCCCTGCTTTACTGTCAGCTATTTGCCACCACCTAATACTGCAGGTCGGTGTGCTTGCACAAAATGTTACAGATCCTACAATTGTACCAGCCCAATGTCTCATTGCTGGTTTTGTGTTTTGCTCTTGCTGACTAGAATTAAATAACTGAAGCACATATGTTAGGTGAACTATCACGAGCAATAACCTAGCATTTATAGGTTGGCATTCACATTTAATTCATTCTGTAGATTTCAATTTTCCTTAGATAGCGAGAAAAGATAAATGTTTTTTTTAATCTCAATCCCTGGCAACATTACAAAATATTAATGTATTGAACATACCAGTTAGCTATGTAGTATACAGTGTATATCATGAATCTTCAAGCATTTTACAGTTAGATAAAATATGCCACATCCATTAGTTCTTATAAAGCATCCCTACCTCTACTGGTCATGGCAGAAGCAGTAGCCTCCTACAACGGACACAAAAGCTGTATCTTTGTGTGTATTTTATGGCTGAATTAGCACTTTTATATTTTTTGTGCTCCTGCAAGACACAATTTATTGCGGTGACAGGTATATTGTTGGAGGAAAATTGCGTTGCATGTTTTAGATATTACGAGGCCATGTCAAATGTTATTATAGTATAGTCTTGCTAAAATGCTACGATAGCAGTATAGTCTTGTACAAAAAGGTCCAGACGCATTGGCAAGTTGTTATCCAGGTTAACTATAATTGTGTTGAATCATGTGTGAAAGAATCAGTTTTTGATATGTATATGCTGTATGTAATGGTCACGTTACCCATGCAGCAACAAGAGGTGCTGCAATTCAATGCCATGCAAAAAAAAAGTATAAAATCGTGATCTTTAGTCGTAACAATTTTTAAAAAAACGTCATGATCTATTATTTGTTAAACCTACGTGACTTTACCGAAAGAACCAAAGAGTACGAAAAGCATTTCTAAAGAAATGAGTTTTCAATGTAGACGTCACACAATGTGTGTTATCGAGACGCACATATATGATGCAGTGAACAATCACACACATGGCTACAAACACTCTTTCACAATTGTTCAGCGCTCCAAGGCTGTTTTCTCTCTTCCAACTCATTCAAACCCACTGAACACCATTTTGTAATTTTCAGGTGTGATGACGTCACATTGAACACATAATTAGACCCACCCCTGACCCTGCCGGGCCCCCCGCCAGATTCGGATGCATTATGAGGCCAGGGTATCATAGTTTGGTTCTGGTTCGGCACTGCAAATAGTCAGTGGAAAACCACCTGTACCCTGAGGGTTCCGTGTTGGTGTACCTTAAATGTACCAGTGAAAAGGGGGTATTTGTCATTTTCAACATGTTACTCAACACATTCGTCAATAACATTGCCTGAAAGAGACAATTATTGGTGTTGTTATTGTATGAATGTGAGTTTTTTTGTTTGTGCTTGTGCACCACTGCCAATGCATTATCACCAATAAAAAGAATAAACATGTTATAGGTCTGCTGAATGCTGTATGCACTGCTGTTTCTTTTGAAAAACTTGCAATGTCAAAATGAATTAAACAAAAAATCACTTATAATATGAGCTTAGTTTCAGTAAACTTTGAGTAGGTTGGACAATTTTCTAACACCATGCTTTGTCACCCCATTGACCCCCAGCCTGAGTTTTTCCAGGTTTGCCATACCAAGAAGGATTACGAGGAATATGGCCCCAGCATCTGCCGTCACAACCCAGTGTTTGGCGTGATGTCCTAACACTTGCACATTCCTTTTGAGTTCTGCCAAACAGGATATTTCCAAGCCTTCTTCCCAGCTCTTTCTCCTTCAGTGTAGAGAGCTCAGACACAACACACTGTAAACACATACCACCTACGAAATATCTTTCTGCTCGGTTTGATTTTTTTATTTTGTGACAAATGTTATTTGTATGCAAATGCTTGCCTTGCATAACTCAAGTATTTCAATGCAGATGTCATGGGCTGCCCCTTGATCATCAGATGGTTCTTTGCTGTCTGGGATGTTATGAAAAGCCTTAAGTACCAACATTTTATCTGAAAGGTGGCTGTCACAAATTGTGACTTTAGTGGTGGGCAATAATCTGCATAGCACATTACCGAAGTGTCAGCTTTGCTCTGAATTTGCCAAAACACTGAATATTTTTTCCCATTCTGCCTCATTTAAACGGTTCATAAATGTGTTGCCAGTCTTTTTGAAAACGCCAATTTCAAAATAATGTTTTGAGGATTGCTTAAAAACTAAAATAAGTGCTTCATTGAAATTGCCACAGGTTGCCACCATTTGTGTGGGCTTTTGAGATGGATTGGGCAACAGGATTTGAATTAAAAAATAGATGTCTGCTATCCTCTGAATCATTGGTTTCCTCAAGAGAATCAGGACCCGCTTCTAAGCTTTGCTTGAAAGAAAACACGTTACGTACTCTACGTGATTGATCCTCTGCAGAAATGTTTGTTGGTTATCGGTTGTGATTGATAATGGTAAAGCAAACTTTTTTTAATTACACTGTGTCTTGGCACATGCACACAGAGTGGTTTATCAGGACAGGCTGGCCAGTGGTTGATTGTGAAACAATCGGCCTGCCATTACTTTTTCTACTTGTACATCATGCATTATATAAGGTTCCAAGTTGGGTAATTTAGTTTTTTCTGCAGATTTTCTTTCCAATCAAAATATTAATTGGCGCCATTTTGACACAAATTTGCAGTAATTAATGATTAAACTTGTATATAAGTACATTTAAGAAAACATTTACAATTAACCTTGTCACTGAAAAGATACTTTTTAATCAAAATCAAGTTGGTATTGTAATTTGGGACTGCAGAAAACACATTTTGTTAGTTGTGTTTGTAAGATAAGATTTCCTCCAAAGATCCAAGTTTTGATGTTAAATTGATTATGTACTGACCAAACAATATACTTTTTTCGTAATTACTTTAAACAGGGTTTTGGCAAAAAAAGTGCAGTATTGAGGTAGTCTGCTTAAATACTTATCATTGGATTGATATTTTTGAAAATGCATTCATCGAATGTGATGTCACATGGGTGTGTGATAATTCAACATCATCTTCTGCAAATTATGCATTCCCTTGGTTTAAAGCAAAACATGCCAATATCTATCCTTACCCCTGAGAGTGGCTGTATTTGTGATAATTCTATTTTTCAATTACAGCGTGGACCAAACACTCTTCTATATCAACTGTAATTGGTGACACTTTCAGCTGAATGCCAGCAAAGGTGTTTTAAGTGACTAGAAATATTAAAATGTAAAGTTGTCACTGGATACTCGGAAATTAATACCATAAAATGGCTTTTCATGTTGTTGGATCTGCAGTATAGCCTTTTGTTATTTTTCACGTGATCTAAATACTGATTGTATGAAAGGTACAGCATTCCAATAAAAGGCACTTCTTTGCAGCTGAATGATTTTTGAATGTTATATACTAAAATATGTGGTAGCAGTTGTAACGATAATTTTCAGCCCATTAACCCATTGCTGGACAAAAACCTTCCCTATGCCGTGTTGGTCAAGGATTGTTTTCTTTATTTATATCATACTTCACTGTGCTAGCTGATATTGGTTGATGTGAATACTCTACTGGAAATAGCCAGCCTACTTTTCTGATGTGTCCAAAAGGAGGCTTTTTAAAGTACATCACCACGAGACTCAGAAACCTGGCTGCAATAGGAAATTAGAAGACGGTACAAAAAAGTTAACTGCTGTCCAATCTGCAGAGTTTAAATGGTCTCAGTTGTCACATTTCTCGAGCTATGCCGTTTTCCTCCAACACCCAAAAAGTTATCAAATGTCTGCCTAGTAGCTCACTGAAAAATGTTACGACGCATTTGAGACAACTGGAGGACTTACATGCGGTACTTAGTCTGAGGACATATAGGTCATATCATATACTAAATAATCAGCTCATGGTGGTGTACATCATACATTGTTAAGCTGCCTGCAGCGTGACCATATACTGACTTTTGACCTCGGCATTGGCTCTTGGGCCAACAGAATAATGCGTTGCTATGGTAGAGCCATCATCGCGTAATTTTCAACAGTGGAAATGCAGCTCCATGTTGCACAGCATGTCTGGATGCTGCTGTGGTGAGTCAAGCTGCAGACCATCAACACAGTCATCAAATACTCAGGCAAAGGGTATTTAGGATGGAAACATCTCCAGGCTATCTTTGTAGTTCTACGAGCATATAATGCACAAAATGTACTTGTGCCGAGTGATTATTGTTAGATGGACAATTGAACCTTATGGCGGGACCCCGGGGTCCCGAATAAACGGAAGTCAAAATCGTAATTATATTTTATTCGAATCAATTCATCATTCTGTTGTCATATCGTCCAAGCGCAGCGAGGACGAATGCACAGAAGTGCTGAACAAGCGAATGCACTTCATGCTCGGGTATGGGCAGGATCATAATTCTTTTCCTAAGCTGCTCAAACTGCCTACACGACTTAAGTTCTTTATTTGTCATCACGGTATGCATAATACAGTGAAACTGCTCTCTTATCTTCATTATTATTTGTGACCTACCAATGTCTGCAGCCAGGATCAATCGATGGCAATCCTATTACCTGCAGGTATTTAACAGATGAGATGCGTTGCACCGTTCATTCCCCCTGTTTAATAATACTTCTCTCGTCCGTATGCATCTGTGCAGATAGTGTTTTTTTGCGGTTAATCCATAGTCCCCCACATACCGCTCATAAAAATGCGGATAAGAGGAGCGGCGACCCACTACTCTGCAGAGTAACATTGGTATAAACGCGTATTACAATATGAGCCTATTTTGAAAACGCGTACTATTTTAGGTACTGTTTATAAAGTGTGTTCACAAATCCATACTGAGAAACAATGATTGACAGAGGGATGTAAATTATTTTTTCGATAGTGTTTTTAAATAGAGCTACTGCTGGTAAGTCGTTTTCAGTTTTAAAGGCATAGTTTAACAAGACAACACTTGCCACCATCCTTCAAACTCATTGGTGAAAAGGAGCAAAGTTTTTGTTTACATTATAAAATAATGTTTATGCGAGAGCGGGGGGCTTATGGGACCCCGGGGTCCCGCCATGAGGTTAAATTCGAGCCGTACAATAAAGCTGCATAAAATATTGGGCCCTGGTATTATGGATGGTTCTTACCCATAACATTAAGCAACCTAGTAACACTCGTTTCATAGGACACTGCTGGTCAAATTTAATAAATACAAACTGGCCCCACGTTTTTACTTTTGAATAAAGTAATACTCCGATTTACGTCTCCCCCTTTAACGTCGTTTCTCAAATATGTCGGTACTTTATTAATGCCACTACCTGATTTGCGACACCTCAACCTATACGTCACTGACAGCATCATTCATCTTTTCTCGTATCCATCGGCTCAGCCGTCGCCTATACCGACCCTGTAAATTGATTTGATTTGCGTCGTTTTTATATTTATTTGCACTTTTCAGGGACGCATCTCCGATGTATACCGGGGTATTACTGTACATAAATTGATCCAGAAGGCCAATTGGTCACTTGAATAATTTAATTGTTATATTGATGAAACAATCTCCCTATATCATAACTTTACAGTAGTTAGTTTCATATAGAGGCTTAACAATTCGATCTGGTTACCAGCTCAGAATATAACGGAAAATTATAATATTATGCAGATATTTCTGTTATCCAATCGCTTGCAGGGAAAGTGCATCTGAAATCCCATTTTCTGTGCGTCCCAAATAAATCCCATTTCAGTTGCGGCTGCTCGTGATTATTTAGGCCCATGCTCTTCGGGTTTTTCAGGAAGATAAGAGAGCTGCTTGGAAATTTGTTGCTGGCCCAAAGTGCACTTTGCCTAATCTGTGCCGAATCCAGGAACCAAATCGATTATATTTTTGGTGGGATGAAGAGCAAAGGTAGAGGGGCACCTGACTGCATCAAACACATGTCCCTATCCTAAAAGCCTCACTTTGTCTAAATGCATTTTCAAAATGGGTCTTTATGTATGTTGAAGATTTTTCGCACCGCATGGAGCCGACCATGCTAATCGGAGGCGGGTTTGTGTCGAGGCAATCAGCTTGAGTGTCCTCGGACCGCCCGCTAACCTTGGTTAGCGGTCAGTCTTCAACAATGTACGTAATTTTCTCTCCTGCACCACAGCTACAGATTGGGTTGTCGCGTAAGCCCCACCTGTACAGGCTTGCTGCACACAGGCCTTGGTAATTTCTTGAGCACGGTGAGCAGGGCCCATTCATCCCACTGGATCATAGGATCATCCCCGAGGAATTGGTTCCTTGTTGTGTATGAGAGCTACCCGTGCTCCAGTGACTTTGCTGATGCGTCCTGGCATGGCATATAGGCCCGCAGTGCGTGCTGTGATGATAGCAGCAGGTGAGCCAAAGAGATTGACCGCAGACTTTGGCTTTGTGTGAATATTCTGCAAAAGCGTGGCAGCCTTAGCCTCCCATTGGATGTGAGGAGGGGTGATGTCGCTCATAGATGGCAGCCAAACGGAGGGTATGAGTCGAATACTTCTGTAGATTATGCCAATTTTTGACCTATCGATATATATAGGTTAGAATCCTACAAGTCACACTGCCATCCAAATGGAGAGGGGAGCGCAACGACTTCGAATAACAGCACATGAGTGTATGTTTAATGTCGATTATGTTTACATGACCCATCAAGCCCGTCTCTACACTGGATTATATATGGTTATAAGTCTCTGTGTAGACAAATGGTGACTGCATAGTGGCTATGGAGACATGTTGGGCTATGGGGTGCAGACCAGGCGTAACAATGGTGCAGTTTTTTCCCGTGCTGGAAGCCCATGGCAAAACGGGCCCTCTACAATGTAACCCACACAACCGGTGTTTCATCCGACCGACCTCCCACCTTTGGAACCTCTCTGGGTGCTGTTAACTGGCCTCTAACAATTTAGGCTTATTCGTGATTTGATGAACTATTACGATGTCGGGATAACAAAGAACCATTTTGTTTTCATTGTGTTGCATTGAAGCACCTCTAGTGGCTGCAGGAGTCACGAATGAACGAATCAAACCCATGTTGATTCTCACATGCACAATTGTAAGCGTGCATTGTGAGCGTTAGAACCAAATAGTAATCGAATCAATTCATCATTACATCCCAACTGCTAGTTCTCCTGCTGCTGTCGAACCTACTTGAGTAACCCCAATAAATTTAGCATTATTTTTGGAGGGACCTCAGGGGGTGTTATTTGCCGACCACATGCACCGAAAGTACTCTCAGATGAGGACTTTACTTGTGACAGTGCTGTGGTGAGCAATGTCCCAACCCGTGCAGTCTGAGCTCGAGCACTGCGGTTGGTGGGAGCAGTGTCCTCACTTGCAGTTGCCCAGAGAAACAAGTCACATTCGCCCCTTCACATGGAGCTGCATGTTCTGATAGGTTTAATTTTATCAGCAAAATGGAATGGCGCCAGTACAAAGTAAGGAATCTGCAGTATTGTGCACCACTACTATCCTCATCAACACTACCACCACCGTATTACAGTACCACCATAATTACTAATCTCCTGACCACCATCACAATTATCCTTACCAGAACTAATATCATCCTCCACCACCACCATAATCTACGTAAGCCAATGCTATCCTTACCACTAGTCAGCCATTATCTATCATCATCAGCCAATGTGTATCATCATCATTACCATCAGGCAATGCCTTAATTATTATTACAATTACCAAAATACGATCGTCATCCTAATTAATTTCCCGATGGAAACCGCGAACAACGCACGCTGAGCAGAGGGATCTCATTTGCATAAGGGCTGTCCTTATGGGAACAAAGCATCCTAATATGTGATTAAGGCCCCCTCCATCTCTATGCTATACATTTTTTTTCACGCAGGGGCTAAACCATAACAGTTCATGCGAATTTCCTGTACACATTTTCCTGCCTTGAATAATTGTGGAATGATTGCTGCAGTCAGTTAAACATAAAAAAAAATTAGAATTTCCGTGTAATTACGGTCATTAGGAATATTGTAGATAATCTAAGTCTTTTGCAATTGACAGCGATTACATTACTGTCTTAGTTCTGAATTATTACTACAATAACATGAAATTCTGTAAATATCGGAAGAAATAAAAGCCAAGGAATAATAGTAAACTGCATTTCGAGACAGGACTGCAAGTAAAAACGTTCGTGTTGAATGGTGATTTGTATTTTAATAATTATTGAATAAACTCAGAGCCATGCAATAAACAAGCAATTTACATAATTTTCGGGAATTCTGCAATAATAAGTTTAAGTTCATACATTTGGCATTGGCTTATTTACAGTTTTGTATAATAAAACATGTAAACGTGGATAAAAGTATACTCTGATATAGGATGACAGTATTGGAAACATCCTGAATCTGGGTAATGGTGAAATATTT